TGGGTGGGTGGGTGGATGGATGGGTGGATGGGTGGGTGGGTGGATGGGTGGATGGATGGATGGGTGGATGGATGGATGGATGGATGGGTGGGTGGATGGGTGGATGGGTGGATGGATGGATGGGTGGATGGATGGGTGGGTGGATGGATGGATGGATGGGTGGGTGGGTGGATGGATGGATGGATGGATGGGTGGGTGGATGGGTGGGGACAATATATTGCACATGGTTTGGTGTGTTGAGGGATGGTGTCCAGCTTAGAACCACACGGGAAGCAGAGCTGATGGGTCTGTCTTTGGGAGCTGCTCGAGTTCTCTGTAGTCCGGCACAGAAACTCACAAATGACTATCTGTGATCTAGGGTGCAGTCTGGGACACTGATATCAAAAGTCTGTCACCAGGCCTGTCTGTCTGGGTGTCCCACTTTTTCTTTTTGAGACAGATTTTCTCTGTGTAGCCCAGGTTGGCCTTGAATTGAGAGAGATCTTCCTGCTTCTGTGTGGCCCACCATGCCCAGCTGGGTCCCGCTTTGCGTGACATTGCTTGCTTTGCAAAGGAGTCTGTGAGTCTTTGACAGTAACGTGTCACATGTCTCGATGGAGGAACTCTCTCAAGTCCAGCTTCCGAGCTTGCCTTGGCTGTCTGATGACTTTCGTCCTGTCATCTACACTCAGTTACAGCTGTACTCAGGAAGGTGACAGTGACATCCATATCACTGACCTAGTTTCTGAGAAGCCACAGGAAGTGATGTCCGTGCTTTTGTTGTGGTGGAGAAAGCGATGGTGTGCTCTTTTTTGTTCTTCTTTGGTCACAGAGGGGAACCAGCAGGGGACACAGTGGCCCATTCTATTGATGGGAAAACTGAGCCTGGGGAAGTGTGAAGAGAACCACAGCCTTCTGTTGGCCCCTGTGCCCCAAACCTGTGCATCCTTATGCCTTACATATACCTGATACTGATTAATTAAAATTTTAATTATGTGTGCATGGGCTGGGATTGTGCATGTGATCCCAGGTGGCTGAAGAGGCCAGACATGGGCATCAGATCCCCTGGAACTGAAGATATAGATGGTTGTGACCCCCCATGTGGGTGCTGGGACTTGAACCCGGGTCTCTGCAGGAGCAGCTGTCTCTCCAGTCCTAGTGCAGCTGATGGTGATCGTTACATCTTAAGGAACATGCAGGCCCGAGCGAATGGAGAAGCTTCCTGTGATTGTTGTACGTGCGTGCATGTGTGTGTGTGTGTGTGTGTGTGTGTGTGTGAATGTTGACTCATCAGTGTCATGGGACAGGGCCTCTCACTGAGCGCATAGCTCAGCCTCTTCAGCCCTTCCCCAGCATGCCCCAGTCTCAGCCTCCTTCCCCATTGCTGTGATTGCGGTTTCATGCTAGGAATCCAAAATCCCACCTCACTGCTGGCCTGACAGGCGGCAAGCGCTTAGCCGCAGAGCCAGCCCCTCCTCCTGAGGCTGCAGCCTTGTCATCATGCATATCTACACATCTCTAGATCTATGTCTGCATCCACATGCAAGAGGGAGGGAGGAAGGAGAGAAGGAATCTCATTCTGTAGCTTAGGCTGGCCTTATGCTTGCTCTGTAGGTCACCCTCACACTTACAGCAATCCTCTTGCCTCAGCTTCCATAATGCGACCAGCATATAGCAGGTGGCACAGCTGTGCAGTCTGTTCTTTGATCTGATCACATGACCTCATGACTCCAGTGCGGCTGTATATGATGGGGAGCAGGGACCCACTGGGTCACGTGACTTCTCAGTGGTGGGCCTCCTCATTTCTCTTCAGCATCGTGGACGTCGGTGGCCAGAAGTCAGAACGTAAGAAATGGATCCACTGTTTTGAGAATGTGATTGCCCTCATCTATCTGGCCTCCCTGAGCGAGTATGACCAGTGCCTGGAGGAGAACGATCAGGAGGTGAGGAAGTTGTCACTGCAGGCGCCGTGCCTTTGGGGGTTGAGGAGTGTTCAGTGAGATTCCATGGGCGCTTTTATCCTAACTCTCCATCTTTTGTGTGGGGTCTTTGTGGAAGGGATGGTCCCCACACTCACCTCCGCATGCACGGGGCTCCCCTCCTGGCCTCACCAGGAGCAGCTCCAGTCACACCAATGCAGAGCTGTGGCCAAATTACCCCTCATCACACAACACGGCACAACCTCGGGGCATCACTGCACCCTCAGCCCCAGTGCTGGATAGCCACAGTGAGGCTCAACATGAAGAACATTGCTTAGGAGAGCGGTTTGCTGTCCCCATTGCTGGGATGAATGGAGCTCAGCAGCTATACAAGATACAGCGAGGTTCTGTGGCCACCATGACCAAGCAGGGCAGCTTGGTCTAAAGCACAGACGCCCCAGGTTCTTATTTAGTTCTGGGAGTTGGGATCGTGAGGTCAGGGTGTGGAAGAGTGTGGAAGGGCGCCACCCAAGTCCCAGGTTTTTCTCAGTGTCTGGTGTCCTTGGCTGTAGAAGCTCAGCCTGTGCCCCCCTTCTCCAAAGTCACAGGATTAGACAGCTCTCTGATGACGTGTGTCTTCACTGGCCGGTCACATCTGAGCTCTAGCCAAGGGTCCTCATACTGTAGCATCCAACCAGAGGCTGACTTCAGAAGGATGTAGTTCAACACAGGACGCTGTGCACACAGACTCGTAGGTTTCCCCCTCACACCCAGAGAGGGGTCTTCATCACCCTGGGTCACCACCCACCTGTCTCCCACCCAGAACCGCATGAAGGAGAGCCTCGCTCTGTTCAGCACGATCCTGGAACTGCCCTGGTTCCAGAGCACCTCTGTCATCCTCTTCCTCAACAAGACGGACATCTTGGAGGATAAGATCCACACCTCCCACCTCGCCACATACTTCCCCAGCTTCCAGGGTGAGTTCTCCCAAAAGCAGCTCCCCGCAGAGAACCTTCTGGGTCCGCAGAAGCTTCAAAGAGAACAGGACTCTCCCGCTGCTTCTGATAAACCTCATGAACTTGAGTTTCCCACACTGTGGAGAGAAAATTAAGATGGTTCCCTTAGCAGATGCCATTGAGTGAGAAAAGAGTCTATAAAAATCTGTTTCTAAGCCGGGCAGCGGTGGTGCACACCTTTAATCCCAGCACTTGGGAGGCAGAGGCAGGTGGATCTCTGAGTTCGAGGCCAGCCTGGTCTTCAGAGTGAATTCCAGGACAGCCAGGGCTACACAGAGAAACATTGTCTCAAAATCTGTTTCTGTTTTCATGAAACGGATGGAACTGCATGACCTTGAACATAGGCAGTGATTCCTCCCTGACCACGCCCCCACCCCCTCTAAGTGGGGCTCCTCTGTTCAGGGGCCAGTCCCCACCTGTCCTGTATTATAGTTGTCACAGCTCCATCAGCCCCTTTTCAGTAACGTCTCTATTTTATCTCGTTTGTGTAACCTTTCTTTTTTTTTGTTTTTGTTTTGTTTTGTTTTTTGAGTCAGGGTTTCTCTGTAGCCCCGGCTGTCCTAGACCTCACTCTGTAGACCAGGCTGGCCTCAAATTCAGAGATCCACCTGCCTCTGCCCCCTGGGATTCCTGGGATTAAAGGCGTGCTCCATAACCACCCACCCTCAGCTGTGTGTTGACGCAGAGATGTAGGACACAAATAGTGTTGAAAACTCAGCTTCTACAGAGCCAGGTGGGACAGCGTAGCTAGGTGGAGACCGCTGTCTGCCTCCCTCGGATCCATCTTTGAGCCCTGGGAACTCACAGTGCTAGAAGGATCCCCTCTCAGTGGCTGAGGACACCATCCTGGCGTGAGCCAGCTGGTTTGCCTGACTCAAGGTCTCATGGTCAGGAATTTGGTTCTCTCTCTCTCTCTCTTTCTCTCTGTCCTTTTTGAGGCAGGGTCTCACTGCAAGCTCTGACTGGTCTTCAACTCTGTAGACCAGGCTGGCCTAGAACTCACAGACGTACAGCACCCAGCCCAGCCCAATGGTCAGGGATTTGGGATGAGCTGAGCTAGGGAAGACTGCCTGGTGGCTGGGACCAGAGAGACATTCCCAGCATTCCTGTGCTGTGTGCACTGGGGCATCTTTCCCTGTCTTGCTGTCCTCCCCACTTCTGAACCTCAGTGTCCATACCCAGCATCATCCCAGTGGCTGGCTTTGACTGCCTTTCATGATCAAGTCTCAGGGACGTCTGTGTCTATCACAGTCGGTTGACCAAGCAAGGCAGACTCAGCGAGAGGGGAAACTGCACTACCTAACGGTGAAGGGTGAGAGGAGGCAGCGCCGGTCACCTAGAGCCAAGCTCTCTCACTTTTTGTGGCTGCTGGGAAGACTGCCCAGAGCTCTGAACCAACACAAGTGACTTTCCTGCCAACTTAGAGACCTGTGATCCAAAGCTGGCGAGCATGAAACACCCACTGCAAACCAGGCAGTGGTCTGCAATGCAAGGCAGAGAAGATTCTGGAGGAGACTTTTACGTCAGCTTTCCCCAAGCTGTGGTCCAGGCTACGGTCCATGCTGGACACCAGGTCAAAGTTCACTCAAATTCAACTCTGGTGACCTCTGGTATGGGAATTTGACCACTGGCTTAATTGTAGCTGAGAGCCCCTAAAACCCCTGTCATGCTGCCATACCCCCCAAGGCTGGCTGCCTGGGGTACAAGATGTGAAGTGCTGGTCACTCCCAGCCCTGTCTTAGCCAAGACATCTCAAGACCAGAGAGAGGCTGGGAGGGGAACAGGTGGTTTGTAGGACTGCTTAACACATCGGGCTGGCCCAGTGCCTCAGTCACGGTTCTATCCCATGACCACAGCAACTCTTGTAAAGGACGTGTTTTATCACTGGTTCATTACCTCTGCGACTCAGAGTTAGTCTGTAATCATCATGGTGGGAAGAAGACAAGCATGGTGCCGAGCAGTCGTGGAGAGCTTTATAATCCTCAGTGCGGAGCAGGCAGAGAAAGAATGAGACTAAGCCTGGCAACGGATGGCTTTTGAATCCCCAGTGACACACCTCTTCAAACAAGGCTATGGCTCCTCCAACAGGGACACACCCACACAAGACCACACCTCCTAAAATATAGCCACACCCTCCCAACCAGGCCACACCCCCTCATTCTCCCCAGATAGGCCACACCCACTCATCATCCCAAGACAGGCCACACCCCCTCATCCTCCCCAGACAGGTCCACCAACTGGGGACCAGGCATTCCAGCACATCAGCCTGTGGGTGAGGCTTTCACTCAGGCACCATGGACACCATGGCGGATTCGAGAAACGTTATTTGCCTCTGACATTTCCTCCTGTGCTTTGCATTTTGTGACAATCTTTTCTTTTTGTCACATAAATTAACCCATTTATTGCAGGGCAGGCGAGTCTCAGACGGTAGGGCTTCTACCAGCGTTTCAGTTCCTTCAGTCTTCTGACTTCACTGTGCCTGCAGAGGTGGTGTTGTAGCCAGGCCCCACCACCGCTGTTTTCATGCAGGAACCACGGTGCCAGATGCCTATGGCTGGTCTCTTCATCTTGGTCCTGCCACAGAAGGAGCGAGTGTACTTGGCATGCTAGCTGATTTCAATATCCTTCACCATTTTCCGGAGGGAGGTACCATAGCGGGTCCGTATCTCCACCGATCCCGACCTTCTTGCTGCATTTAGCCGTGTCGCCAGAACCGAAGCCCAAGCCGACAATGTTTTCATACTTATTTTCTTTAAAAGACTAAAAATACCTAAGGATGTGGCTCAATGGCAGGGTGCTTGCCTAGCAAGTGAGAGGCCCTGGTTTCTATTTCCAATATTGCCAGGAAAAAAAATTAAACTCAGGCAGTGGTGGCACACACCTTTAATCCCAACACTCAGTAGACAGAGGCAGGAGGATCTCTGAGTTACAAGCCAGCATGGTCTACAGCGTGAGTTCCAGGACAGCCAGGACCACACAGAGAAACCCTGTCATGGGGAAACAAAAGACTGAAGCCTTGAATCTGAAAAGACATTTCCCTTGGCTCAGTGAGTAAAGAGTGTGGCACACGCAAGCATGGAGACCTGAGTTCGAATCCACGGCAGCATAAATAGCTCAACTGGCATGGTGCTGGGTAGATCCAGGAGGGTTCCCCCCAGCATCACCAGGTAGACCACCTAGTAAGTCAGTGAGTTCCAAGATCAGTGAGACTCTGACTCAGAAAAGAACTACAGCCAAAGTGTCCCTGTGTCCCTGCACCTGAGTGCACACACATCCGTGCACACACAGAGTAACAAATGTGCACACACATCCGTGCACACACAGAGTAACACAAAGGAAAACTCGTGATACTTTGGTCAGATTAAAAGAAGAATAAAGCAAGCCCGTAGAGTAGGACATGTCCACTGTAGAGATGGAAAAACTGAGACTCAGAGATGGGCAGTCACTGGCTGGCAGTTGAGCCAGTGAGGAATTAAAGCAGGTTGGGGATAGGGGTGGAGGACAGGTGGAGGCGGCCTGAGTCCTGCTCTACCCATCTTTGCCTCCTTCGGGAGTCCCTGCTTCCATACCCCTACTCCCAGAACTGAGGCTATAGGCACACTCCTGCTTTTCCTAGGTGCTGGGGATTCGAACTCAGGTTTTCAGGCTTGGCAGCAAGCACTCTTATCCTCTGAGCCATCGCCTTTGCACTGGAAGCAGGATTCGAACCCACACTGTTTGCACCCGGAGTTTACTCCCAGTCAGCCCTGTATGACCTCCAGAAGATGGACGGCGTGTAGTGGGGAGCACATCTATGGAACACCCAGGTCCCTGGACGCTTGCAGAGTTCCCACTGCGCGCAGCCCCGCCCCATCTTAACACCCAAGTCCTCGAGCTGAGCCTCACCAAGCATTTCAGCTCACATGAACAACTCTGACACGTTACACCTCATTCCCACTGGCTGGACTGACAGACATGGCGCCTGTCCTCAGTCAGGATGGCTCTGCGGCCCCTCCCCGCCCCAGTGAAGGATCCCCAGAGTTGTCACAAAGCCCTGAGTTGAATCCCCAGCGCCACACAAACCTGGCTTGAGGCCGCTCACCCATCACTCATCTCTGGGAAGGTGAAGGTGAGGTGGTCAAGGAGTTCAAAGTCAGCTAGGGTTACAGACTGACCTGGAGGCTAGCCTGTTAGAGAACCCAGGGTGATTCCGGGATACGTAGGGAGTTTGAGGCCAGCCTGGGCTACAAAAAGGCGCCCATCCGACCCCACGCCCTCTCTACAGGACCTCGGCGGGACGCAGAGGCCGCCAAGCGCTTCATCTTGGACATGTACGCGCACGTGTACGCGAGCTGCGCAGAGCCCCACGACGGCGGCAGGAAGGGCTCCCGCGCGCGCCGCCTCTTCGCACACTTCACCTGTGCCACGGACACGCACAGCGTCCGCAGCGTGTTCAAGGACGTGCGGGACTCGGTGCTGGCCCGGTACCTGGACGAGATCAACCTGCTGTGACGCCGGGAGCCCCTGCGGGACGCGGTGGTGGCGAGGACGCGGCGCCCCCGGTGGCCACGCGCGGAACTGCGGGTCGCGGCAAGCCAGTCCATAGGCGAGTGAGTCCCTGCTCCCCACCGGGCCTCCAAGCCCAGCCCCTCTGTAATTTATCCCTCACCCTCCTCGTTGTTAGAGAAAGGACGTCAGCCGGGCCTTTAACCCCAGAGCTCCGGAGGCAGAGGCAGCAGGATCTCTGTGAGTTCCAGGACCCTGTGCCAAAAACCAAAAAACAAACAAAACTGGAGGGAACTGTCCGGGTCTTGTGACTTCCCAGGGGCCCTGTCCACGTCCTCCAGTGGGCCTCACACTGGGTAAGTGAAATGTGTAAGCGAGGAAGTTTTACTTGTTGTCTACCTATTGGTTGGACTGAGGTTGACTCCAGCTAAAGACTGATTTTTTGAGGCTGTGAGGCGTCCTCTGTCCACGACACTCCAGCGCTGCCCCATATCACTCTGTACTTGGTTATCCCACGACCTCCGTGGGGCTCACTCCATCTTACCAAAGGGGAAACCGAGGTCAGTGAGATGGCTGGTGAAGGCACCTTGCCACCAAGCCTGACGACTTGAGTTCGGGACCGGCTCGGTGGACAGAGGGAACCGAGTCCCATGAGTCTGCTCAGGCGTGCATGATGGTGACACACCTACCCACACTGAAAAATAAATGTAATTTACAAACAACCAGGGAACTGAAGAAGAGAGAAATATCTCAGCTCTCGGGTGCTGAGGCAGGAGGATTGCAAGTTTCATGTCCTAAAATACAGCTCAGTGTTCTCACCGTGAGCCAGGCAGGGGACATGGCCAGGATGCTGACTCAGAGACAAAGTCAAATCTGGGCAGAGACTGGAGTGGGGAGGGCGGGGTGGCTCAGAGGGTAAAATGCAGGGGTTGGCAGCTGCCCCGTTCATCCGCAAGCCTGAGGTTCCGTGAGAGACCCAGGGAGCGACTGAAGACGACACCCGACCTCTGAGGACATCACAAGAGACTAGGATACAGCACGGAGTCATCTGCTCTCCCGTACCTGTCACCCCGTCACCCCACAACCTGCCCACGCCTTCTGAGCACTGGAGCTAGAGATCGGGCCATTCTCGGCGGTCCTGGAATCCAGATGCAGGGTCAGCTGCACTTTACGGACACTACCTCCCTCCAGCTCCCTGACCGTGACTCTTTACAGTGCTGCATAGTACTCCACTCTGGGACATGGCATGGCTCGATCCGCATGCTGGGGGTGGAGCCAGAGTCCAAGGAGTTCTGAGCCAGACGCTACTGTTGTTTTGTGCCTGCAAACATTGTTGTGTCTACCTGCAGCTCCCCAGAGAATCGCCCCAGTACTGTCATGGCCCCAGTGCTGTCTTCAGGGTGCATCTGGGGCAGGGAGATGGTGCTTGCCTAGCCTGGCAACATACTAGAAGGGCAGAGCTGTTCTTGAAGACTGACTAGGTGCCTGCTGTGGGGGTCAAGGGTTCTAAGCTTCATCTCTGCATGGTGCCTGCTTCCTAACACAGTAATTTTCATCGCAGCAGGCTGCACTCATTCCAGGGTGCTGTGCTCAGTCCTCCTGCACACTGCACGGCAGTGCTCACTTGAACTCATAGCATGAGGCCCAGTCATGGGCTTGACTGGAGTTAGCCTTCGGCTTGGAACCAGGTTTCGTCCTGGGTGTCTCCCTGCACCATGGTGTGTCTGTGGCCACGTTAGGCAGGCTCAGGGATCATCCTGGGATCAAGGCTCAGTATAAGGTAGAGGCTTGGGGAGTCAGTGCAGAGGGGCCCTGGCAGAGTCTGTGCTCTGTCTGACATCAAGTGTCTTCAGGGTCACAGGGTTAAAGCAAGAACCATCCTCGGGTAAGATTGGGCTCAGTGCAGGGAAGGAGCTGAGGCTGGGATCAGAGCACAGAACAACTGTGTGTGCTGAGGCTGAGTTGGTGCTGCCAGGGGAGCTGTAGGTGTCCTTGCGCACAGATTAGGTGCCTGCTGTGTTTGCTATGTGTTTACAAACATAAAGCACCCCTGGTGCAGGCAACAAAATCTTGTTAAACGCCTTGTGTGTGTGGAATTTTTAAAAAATGGGTGACTTTAAGCATCTACTGTGTATTGGTGGCACACTTTTATTATTATTATTATTAATTATTTGGGGTTTTTTAGACAGGGTATCTCTATTATGTAGCCCGGGCTGGCCTGGAACTTACAGAGATCCTTCTGCCTCTGCCTTCCAAGTACTGATATTAAAGGCGTATGCTGCTACACCTAATGTGGCGCATATTTTTTTTGTTTTTGTTTTTTTGAGACAGGGTCTCTCTGTGTAGCCCTGGCTGTCCTGGAACTCACTCTGTAGACCAGGCTGGCCTCCAACTCGGAAATCCGCCTGCCTCTGCCTCCCAAGTGCTGGGATTAAAGGCGTGCGCCACCACTGCCCAGCATGGCGCATATTTTTAAAGCACCTTCTGTGTACACACAGCAAACACTGATTAAGCACTTGCTGTGTGAGGTCATTAAACATTAAGCACCAGTGAACAGTTCAGGGATAAAGGTGCTTGCCGACCTGAGTTTGGTTCTAGGACCCACATGGTGGAAGGACTCCTGTGAGTTGTCCTCTGACCTCAGCACATGGCATGACACATACAGACCCCTACACTAAATAAATAACTGTCACAAAAGTTTTAAAAAGATGTTAAGTGCCTGTTGTGCGTGAGCAGTGTACTTGATGTCTTTGGGTGACATCTATTAAGGCTTGGCCAGTGTATACAAGAGACAAACATTTATGGCATACTCTCTGTGTACAGTTGACAAACATTTGTTAGGCACCTGTTGTACATAAATAAGCATGTTTGGAACAGCTGGGCACAGGCGGTGGGAGAGGGGCTCTTGGGACCAGAGCCAGTGCCAGGCGGTGCCACTGTCCACACCTCACCTAGTGCTCTGTCCCCCATCCACGAGGGAAATTTGGGCAGGGGTGGGGTTCCAGGAGAGCCCCCAGAGTCACTCCAACGGCTGCTCAGGATGCCCCTCCCTGCCCTGGCCTCACCCCCACCCACTCTGGGGCACCTTGAGCATAACAGGAAATTTCAAACAACAGGAAACCCAGGCCAGGCTGTGACTCCACCCTGCCGGGGCCTCTCTCACTCTGTCCCTGGGGGAGAGCATGAACGTCAGCACCTGGTCCACGCTGGTGACCCCAGAGTCCTGCCACCGGCTGGCAGCCAGTGGCCACAGCCTCCTCATCATCCTGCACTACAATCACAGTGGCAGGCTGGCTAGCCGCGGGGGCCCTGAGGCCGGTGGCGGGCTGGGGATGCTGAGGGGGCCATCGGTGGCAGCGGGGTCCCTGGTGGTGCTGGAGAACGCCATGGTGCTGGCCGCCATCGCCATCCACATGCGATCGCGCCGCTGGGTGTACTACTGCCTACTCAACATCACACTGAGCGACCTGCTCACAGGCCTGGCCTACGTGGTCAACGTGCTGCTGTCGGGAACGCGTACCTTCCAGTTGTCACCTGTGCACTGGTTCCTGCGGGAGGGCCTGCTCTTCATGGCCCTGGCTGCATCCACCTTCAGTCTGCTCTTCACAGCCGGCGAGCGCTTCGCCACCATGGTGCGGGTGGCTGAGAGCGGGGCCACCAAAACCAGCCGTGTGTATGGCTGCATCGGTCTGTGCTGGTTGCTCGCAGCTACCCTGGGCCTGTTGCCCCTGCTGGGCTGGAACTGTGTGTGTGCCTTCCCGCACTGCTCCAGCCTGCTGCCCCTCTACTCCAAGGGCTATGTGCTCTTTTGTGTGGTCGTCTTCGCCCTCATCCTAGTGACTATCCTGAGCCTCTACGGAGCCATCTTTAGGGTGGTCCGAGCCAATGGACAGAAGTCCCCACGTCCTCCTGCCCGCCGCAAGTCCCGCAGGCTACTCAACACGGTGCTGATGATCTTGGTGGCCTTCGTGGTGTGCTGGGGTCCCCTGTTTGGCCTGCTCCTGGCAGACATCTTTGGTTCTAATGTCTGGGCCCAGGAGTACCTGCGTGGCATGGACTGGATCTTGGCCCTGGCCGTGTTCAACTCAGCCATCAACCCCCTCATCTACTCCTTCCGCAGCCGTGAGGTGCGGCACGCTGTGCTGGCCTTCCTATGCTGCGGCTGTCTCTGGTTAGGCCTGAGAGGTCCTGGAGACTGCGTGAGCCGGATCACTGAGGCCCACTCCGGTGCGTCCACCACTGACAGCTCTCTGAGGCCCAGGGACAGTTTTCGGACTTCCCGGTCACTCAGCTTCAAGATGCGAGAGCCGCTGTCCAGCGTTTCCAGCGTCCGCAGCGCCTAGAGCTTGGACCAGCCAGTTTCCCGCTGAGTAGGTCCTCCCAGGAGAAATGAGAAGGAACTGGACACAAGATCCTTGCCTGATGGTGACTGAGAACATGTCAGCAGGCCCCGGGATCCTTTCACGAAACTCCCCGTTGATGAATGTTTGGCAGAGTGGCGGAGCCAGATCCAGTGAGTCTGGGCCTCGATGGGGCTCTCAGGCAACGAAGGGGATGTGCCGTGTCTGAGGCCACGGACAGGACAGAGCCTTATGGTTCTGTCTTACTCACATGTGTGCATGTCGATGCCCAGGCTGCTGTACCGTGTCTCCTGGTCACACTCACTGGTACACAGTGCTTTGGGGGTGTGCTGGGATGGGGGTGCACCATTTGTTTGAGGACAACCTGATGAGTTGTAAGAACAGCAGGTGGGGTTGGGGGACACACCAGTCTGTCATCCATCCCTCTTCTGTGACTTCCCCATTGGGACAAGCAGCCTCCCCCCTCCCATGGCCTCGCTCCTCAGTTCAGGTTCTCTGGTTCTAAGTGGGGAGAATAGACCCACCCACCCTGGGTCTGGGGCAATCTCAGCTGATCCTGTGACCCCACAACCTCGCCCTTCCGGTTCTGAATCATGGAGCTATGCTGTGACAGGGAGCTGTGAGTCCTACCCTATGTGCGGCTAC